AGGTTAGAAATAAATGGACTCTGTCATGGGACAGCAGCATCAGACTCAGTGAGAACCGATGGCGGGGAAACGAGGTCAGGATCCGAATCAAGGGGGTGAGAGAAGCTGCGAAATGGCTGAGATCAGAAACGAGAGCCCCTGCGATAAAGCAGTGGGACTGGGTTGTAAGCGCCTAGGAGTCCCCCGCCGAGGGGAGCAGCAGTGACATGCCTACAAGACTCAGTTTCCCCGACCTGATCTTTAATCCCAGGCTCTGGAAATAACCCGGGGTTTACAAAGCGCCTTGAAATCGTTTAAACATCAAGTCTAACGTAAGAGTGTCAATGGATAAATATCTCTGGGCCCATCGAGATCCGTGGGCTTTCTATTTGAAACCTTCCCCCCCCCCCGCCCCGCTTTGGCAGTCCGGCTAGATGTACGGAAGTGCAGTTAATTCGCAGATGAGCTAAACGACACCAGTCACCCCATTAGGGAGGGTTTGTTTGTCCTTTGAACTGTTCCCGGGGATTGTAACTCGCCTGGCGAGCTCTTCCCCGGCCGGCCAGAGGCACAGCGGCCTTGCGCGGCCTCTTGGGCTTTGTTGTTTTGCAAAACAAGATGAGAAAATAGTCTCGAAGCTGCATTTCATTAGAGCCCTTTACGGGGGGCATCCCTCCCCTCCGTCCGCTGCCCGCCCCAGCGCCCTGGGAGAAGAACATCCCGTCGACACGTTTCTTCCTCGCTATCTTCTTCTGCTGAACGTTGTGGGGGGCGGGGGGGCCGCAAAGCAAAGCGCGACTTGAAGCGTGACCGGAGCCGCACCATGCAATGGCCCGGGAGTCCTCAAAACAGCCGGCCCGGCCGAGTGGGACCGGCGGCTCCTGCCCGCCCGGGGAACTTCCTCGGGAACCTTCTCTGCTCGGCTCGGCTCCCGGGCCCGGGGAGACCTGCGCCGGCCGCGGGACGGGCTTGGCTTATGGCTGATCAAGTCCCTACGACTGGCTGCGCCCCCGGTTCGAGTTCAAGGGGGTGAACTAGCGGGAACTCCCCGGGTTTTACACCTCCCCCCCCCGCAGACCGGCAGAGGCTGCCCCCCGCGCGCCCCCCCAGTCAGCAGGGGCTCATGGAGAGGGAGGACTGACAGCGACTCTAACGCAGCTGGGAGGGCTGATCCTTCACACCGAGATGAAATCTCATCCTCTCCTGCCCCCTGATATTCGTCTCATTTCCCGAGGAGCCCTTTTTGCTGTGGCATTCTCAGCCTGTTACCCTGTTTGGGTTTCTCTCGCTTTCTTATCTATTTATTTTTTAAAAATGACCCAGTCTCATCCAAAGCAATGTTGCTGCCAAGAGCCCAAAGACCCTCTCTCTTTGTGGTGCCTTGCTCTGGTGCAAAGCACATGCCTGGACCATTTCATGAACAAGAGAAACTAGTCTTGAAAAAAAAAAGAAAACCGCATGCGGGTCTTCCTGTGACACCTTCACTCTCCGGGGCCAGGGGCCACTTTCTCTCTCTGCATTAATGCGACCCCAGACGCCTCTCTAGTCTAAACCCCTAGTTTAGTCCGAAATCAATATAAACTCGCCCGTACCATTGTTTTGGCCCAGACTGAGACTTGGCATACCGAGGTCCGATTTTTAAAAAGTAGATTTACAACAACAAACAAAAGAAGGAAGCCAATTCACTGGCTTGCTCAGAAGGGATCCAAGGTTTCGGCGCCGACCGAAGAAGTCTGCAGGCCGAACGCAAGGCAGGGCAGTTTGCAGTCACGGTTGCAGATGCCTTTTATGTTGCGTTAGTCGAGAAAGTCTCGTTCCAAAATACAGCGCGGTAATTAATTGTCCCTGGTCTTTGTTTGTTTTGTATTCAAATGGCTTCCCGGGAATTCCTCCCGCTTTTGTCCCGACTTTAATCCGGCTTGATGGGGGTGCGCGGGGGGAGAGGGGGGCTGTGTGGAGTGTGACCCAGATGCTGTGGTCTCGAAACCAATTGCTCTGCGTTCGGGGGTAACTTTTGACAGCAAACTTCGTGAGGCGCCCTGGCGGCGCAGCGCCATCAGCGCGCAGTGAATGGTTGAACCTTTGCACGGACTTTTTAGGAACCTGCCCAGCGATTATGAAGCCAACCCCTGAAGGTCCCCGAGTCGCTGCTGGAAGGAACCAGCATTTTTCTGCCTATTACTGCGCAGTGACTTTTGGGGGGGTTGTCGCTGTTTGGGGGAGAGCGAGGGATGTTGACGCGGAAATTTATTTTTAAAAGTGCTAACCAGGTTTGCCCATTTCTCCATAACCCCTGGGAGCTGTTACGGTCCATTGGGTAAATGCAGTTTCCAAACCGGGAACACATTCCGAGCTCTCCTATTTAGAAATGCTGCTCTGGAGATATTCTAGTCCAGGGATAAATAACCTGTGAGATCACCGCTCGGCTGCTCTCGGCAGCACCAGCCGCGTGTCGGGGCTCAAGAGGCGGGACAAGTTCCTGGAAGAGTTTGCAAACTACGCGCCCCGTCCTGCATATCTTTACCCAAGCGAGCAAGTCTGTACCGGGCCGGCCTGAGCCTGCATTCCCCGGCCACCCAAACCCGGGGGTGCCGGAGCGAGGCGGGATTGGCTAGCACCTTTGCACAGGTGGCTCCTGAGGCAGGCTCTCCTAGGCCGGGCTTTGTTTTTAAATTGTCTAATTGAGAGCCCCAGGTCTGCCGGTTCAATAGCAGAGCCAGCCAGCCTGCAGGCCCCTGGAGAAAACGGCTCCGCTTTGATTTTCTGTCTCGTATAACCAGGAGGTTTTGCCACCCACCCCCGGGCTGGAATTCCAGGCTCAGGGCTGGTTCCCCTCGGTCCCCAGCCAGCTCAGGGAGGGGGATGTAGTAACTTTGGCCGTACCGCCCTCAACCCCTGTGGGCGACTTGGATGGGGCCATACCTTGCCCAGAATCCCTGAGCCCGAGCGTGGCTGAGCGGCAGCCGACCTGCCACCCGCAGCATGCCGCTCGGATTGGCCCGGGAGTGTTGCCCTAAATCTGAACAGACAAGTTTCGATGGGCCGGAGCCTGCCCGGATTCCTGTGCAGAGAGTTAGCTGGGGAGTTGTATGGGGGGGGGGAATTTACTGGGGGAGGTGGGAGTGCAGTGACTTGCTCCGGTGTCTGGGTCCCATCCTGGCTGTGCCAATGACCGGCTACTTGGCCTAGGGTAAGACCCAGATCCAAAGCGCACAGGGGCCAGCAGCTAGATTCTTTCCATCGGCCCCTGTAAGGCAGGGATACTATTCACCGGGGGGGCGGAGGGGGGGCGCTGGGTGTTATTCAGCATTATGGAAGAAGGTTTGGGGCACGAGACGGACAATTAGACATAACGCCGCTGGTCAAAGCCCTCTGGCCCCCGGAGACGCGTTTCTCCTTCTTCCGACTGTTTGTGCGCGTTTTGCTGGGCGTTCCCTGGAGTTTGACTGCTCTGGCTCCCGGGCCATTCCCGGCGTGTCACCCTGTACGATGGTTGCCTTGGCCACATCCGCCGAGATGCCCACGGGCCGGTTTCATATGGAGCTGGCTGAACTGCTCCGCCGCAACTGCGGGGCCTTTTATTTCTTATTCCGCTCTCCTTTTTCCCCAGGCGCTTTCAACCCAGCAGGTCTCGTTTTTTAAAAACTATATTTGACTTTGCTAATGTTATTTTACTGACCCACCTCAAACGGGACATTTTGATTCTAATGGGTGACTTTTTTTAAAAAACAAAAAGGCAACTGTAACTTTGTCTGCGATGAGCACAGTCTGTAAGAGCCCCATCCCGGCCGTGAACCCAAGGTCTGTCCAATGCTGAGCAGCGAGCCCGGATGGGATCCCAACCAAAGTCAGATTCTATTTTTAAAAATATTTTCCTAATTATATTTACTCTCCTGGGGAGGGGGCTGAAGAGACACTCCCCGCCCCCTCCCCCCCGCCAGCTTCGGGAATTCGCAACGATTTCACTTAGCCAATCAATCGGGCGAAGTGCAATCGATCGGGAGCTGCCGGCCAGGACAGTAAATAATCAATAGTAGATAATCACCCCCGAACTCTCCCGCTTTCTGCAAGATCGCGACTTGCTCTTACCAGGAGCTGGGATTGGTGCAGTTTAAAAAAAAAAACCACCACCACCACCCATCCCTGCTCCACAGTGCTTTATTGTACCACTCCTGTTCCCGGCTGCTGAAGGCGCCGATCCAAAGCCAACTAAAATCCATGGAAGTCTTTCCATTGGCTTCCTTCGGCTTTGGATCAGGCCCCGTGTCCACTAGCTTGGAGCCTGTTCGGAGAGGGCTGTAGAGAAGTCCCCCCACCCGACCCCAGCACCCTTGCGTAGGAAGCAAGAGACCCAGGCAGTCCCCGGGCGCCCCCAACGTGTAAGCCCCAGCCAACCTCCTTCCCCCGGATCTGGAGCAGCTGCGGACTGGTGCGAAATAGCCCCAGCGCCAGGTCTGAGCAGTAGAGTCCATCCTTGGGCCCTACGGATTTGGTGGGGTGGGGGGGATTCCAGATAATCAGTGCCCTGCCCCCCCCATCTGTGTTTCTCCGGCCCCTCTGACTCTGACATTGTTAGTGCTTTATGAGGCAGTAAATATCCAGAGGCAGGGAGGATGCATTTGAACGCCGGGCAGGCCCCTAAGTAATTACTTTTAATAGGGGAAAAAAACCGAGGGTCTCTGCGAGAAACCGGAGATTGGATCAGGCCCTAAGTCCGGAAATTGGAGCAGGCAGCCCGGATTGGCAGCTCGTCTCTGAGCTGGTGTGAAATGTGTTTAAGGGATTATTTAAAAGGAAGAAATGCGGGGGCCGGACCCCATAAAGAGGCGAGGGACCCGGAACTGGTGTTTGGAGCAAACCCTGCGGCTTCAAATCCTAGGCAGCGCCAGAGATTGGGGCTCTCTCCCCCTTCCCAGTGGGAACTGGGGTCCCATTGCAGCGCCGGCCCGGTCCCCAGAGGTGGGTGGGCTACTAAGAAAGACTTTCCTTGCAGCCCCTGTTTCCAGAGGAGATCTCCTTACCTTTCTTGATCACCGACTGATCCAGTAAATTCAGCCCAGCATCATCCACAGCCTGAAAGCACGCAAGGCACAAATATTAGGGTGCTGCTTTCCTAATGCAGAACTGCGGGGTGGGGAGCCGCGGAGATCTCTCCGTTTTCAAACGGGCCACATCATCAACACACACACACGAACAGCGGAGATCTAGGCTTCCCGGGGCTTTTCTTCAAAGATCGAATGAGATAAATTAGACCCTACAAATATTGGGCTTGCAAATGGATTCGTGCAGCTCCTGTGAACAGTCACCCCCAGTTATTTCATCAGATACTTTTAAACCTACTTTATGATTAAATTTTTACAGAGAGCAAGAATCTAGAGTTGTTCTTTCTTGTTAGCAACGCGCAGACTTCCCTGTGCGAGTATACTGCCTCGGTCGCTTAGGGGGACCGGGGGCTCGTTCCAGGTAACTCCGGAGCTAATTCCTGTTTAAGAGGGGGACGCAGATAGTTTGCAATTGCCTCCAAGCGGCAGACAAACAAAAATATTCCGAGATTTGAGAGGACAGAGGACTAGGCTGTTCGCAGTGTGATTCTAGCCGTTGGTCCCAGGATATGGAGAGAGACCAGAGAGGCGAAGAAATGTTTTTTATTGGACCAACTTGTGTGAATGGAATAGATTTTTCCTCAAAATGGAAAAAAAATTGTTTGAGCTAGGGATTAAATATCGTTCTGGGTGCTTTTGTATTCTTTGCGCATAATGTTTCTTTCTCCATATTTCCTTTGCTAGAGAGTTGACAAATCCGGAATAAAAAGCACACGCACATAAAAAACCAAACCAAACCGTGTCGTGTTTTGTTAAAGTAATTGAAGTTCTCTACAAAACTCCTGCCCCTCTGCTAGCTACTGTCTTCACGTGGTAAATAAATAAAATGATACGAAAATACAAATAGAACTCGAATTACTTCGGTACACTTGGGAGTGCGAACAAAACACCGACACAAATTCTCTCCCTGGGCTCTTTGTTAGCAGTTTGTGTCTTTGATGGCTCGAATAAAAGCATCGCTGGAATAGAATTGGATCAAACTAAAGGGAACGTCTCGATTTCTGTCCTTTAGAACGAGGATAGTATTTTGCTCCATCTTTTAAAACAGTGAAATGATGTTTTGTAAATATCTCTGCGCAGCCATTCCCCCGAGTCCGTCTGCGGCTAATATCACGATATAAAATGAAAACAGGAGAGGAGACATCGTGTGGCTAGAAAGTTATAAAACATTTCACATTCGGGGCGATTTGGATGGCAAAGGAAATCTAGTTTCTTGACAGGACAAGAGAGGAAAGGATCTGAGCGGAGGCGCAAATTCGGGAAAAGCGAATGGGAAGGAGAGTCTTGAATTTGCAGCAAATCCAGAATTTACCGCAAAGATCCAACCAATAGAATTGTAAAATAAGAAAATGAATATATCTACCGGACCGTTTTGCAATGGAAATGTCCCCCTCGATCCTCCCCAAAACAACCAACGAGGCAAAACACCAGTTCCAAGCGCAACCTTCCCCCCCCCCCCATCCTTGTCATTTTCTTTTCTTTCTTTCTTTTTTAACGAAGCATCATCGAAAACGAAGGGGTGAAAGCGAAAAAGGAGAGTTGTACTTTTAGAAGCGAACCCTCCCTTCGGAAAACGAGCCATCTCCACAGCCTGAGTGTGAAGGTCCCAAACCTCCCCCTGCCTGGGCAGAGCCTGCCTGTTACAGCGGAACAGAGGGTCTTTTCGGCTCCGAGAGACCAGCCGGGCATTTTTGGGATCACTTTTTGGTTTCACTCCCGGGATGGAGCATCTGATGGAGCAGCGAGGGGCTGTTTTATGATTAATTTACCCCATTGAACCGCTTCTCTCAAACAAAGGGGCTCCCCCTTTAGTCCCCCCCACACTTTAAATTAACCCCCTTTCCCCTTGAATCGCTTTGTTCCACCCGCTTTCCCCCCCTTGGGCTGCCCTGGAAAGTCCGTTCCAAAAGACTGGACACAGCGCGGGGAACCCCTCCAGAAATGCAAACCGGGCCGGGGCTCCGGGCTTTGCGCACCCAGGGCAGCCAGCTGGGATCTGGGCACCGGCGGAACCGAGCCCTTCGGCCGGAGAAAGGCTGCTAACTCCCCACCAGCCCGGCCTCCTGGGGTACCCCCTCCACCCCCCCCGCCTGGCGGGCCTTGGGTCATTACACAGCCACGGGATGTACCTGGATGTCCTCGAGGCTGGGATGTCCGAGTCCATGGAGGCCCAGCGGCCCGTCTCCTAGCCCGTGGCCCGCATCGGCCAGCCCGTGCAGCAGGCGGGGGACCCCCGGATATTCCCGGCGGGGATCCAGGCTCAGCGCCCGGTGGGTCTGTGAGAGCAGCCCCGCTTCCTCCTGCCGGGCCCGCTGCGAGTGCCAGCCGGGCTGCTGGTGCTGGTGGATGGGGTTGATGGTGCTGTACGGATCCCCCAGGTGCGGGTAGCCGGCCTCCTGGCTCTGCGAGTAGGGCATGGGGGGCTGCGGGTAGGGCGGCGGGAAGTAGGGGGGCTGGAAGTCCGAGGCCGGCGTGTGGCAGAGCGGGGGAGCCGAGGAGTAAGCCGCCTGGTTCAGGGAGGAGAGCTGGGAGAGGCGGCCGCCGGTCGAGGCCCCGTTCAGCCCATCGGGACGGTCCTGCGGGGAGAAGAGAAGAAAGACGCTGGTCAGGCGGAGCTGGGGCCCCGGCTCCCTCGCCTCCCCCGTGGGCGCCCGGCTCCAGGGCCACCTGGCTTCCCAGCGGCGCAGAGAAGGTCACCAAGCCCTGGGCAAAGCCCCCAGCTCCAGCGCCTGACACCGCCTGGCCACCTCCCCCGCCACGGGGCTAGGAATCCGCTTTGCCCCCTGGCTCCGCGTCCCCTTGGCAGGGACAGGTCCCCGCTCCAGCCTGCAAACACCTTCCTACCTGCACTTCCCTCCTCCGCTTGGATCCCCCCGAGCCTCCCCAGGAGAAAACAAAGCGTCCGCTCGGGACCCCCGAGCTCTGACATCTGGCCAGAATCAGAGGGTGAAATCCCATCTCGTTGGGAGGGACGAGGCTGCCTCCATTAAATATCTCTGGGGTGGCCCCCTATGAGTCTCTCCCCCCCCCCACCAACTTACCATGGCTGAATAAGTGTGAACTAGCATCTGTGCGGGGGCGGGGGGGGAGGCCTAGAGGAAGGTGTCAAAGCAGAGACGTGGAGGAATAAAAGAAACCCCAATAACAATCCTTCAAAATCGGGTACGGCCCAGCAGCTCCATGCAGGAAAAATCCCAGATCCAACGGGGGGGAGTTACGCGGATGGCTTTGTCCCTTCGATTACAAAACCGTTCAGTTCCGAAGTGTTTCAGATGGTTCCCACCTCCCTCTCCCTCTCCCTCTCCCTCTGAGCCCAAACCAACGCCATGCACTCCAGTTATAGAGCCGGGGGCGCGCCGGCAGCGCCGGGAGCGCGCGTTAAAGAGACAGAGCCCGAGTCTCGCCTTTTTGTATTATTATTTTAATGGGCGGGGGGGAGGTTTGTGTCTCTTTCTGAGGAGGGTTCTTTTTCTTTTTCTTTTTTGTTTTTCTTTTTAAACAACCACTACATTCAGGGGAAGAATCTTAAACAAAACATATCCGTGTGAATCCGTTTACACTGAAAGGACTCTGGATTAAAAAAAAAAAAAACCCACACAAATATTAAGAGAGAGAGAGAAAAACCGTTTAGCAAAAATCAAATTGGTTCTTAGAATTTTTCTTAGTGGTTCTTTTAAGACCAGGTTAGTCTCTTTTCCGTTGAATACGGATGAGGCATCAAAGGGGGGGGGGGTTGATTCCGCTCCCACGGAAAATTCAGAGGGAATTTTAACTCGCGAGATCTCATTAACTATTCGCCTAATCTGGATTTGGAAGAACTGTGTTTTCTCCTGCTTTGCTTTGCTGGATTTTTGTGCCTTTCTTCCGGACGTGCACCGCTTTCCATGGGGTCCATTACTTGCATTTTTTTTTGTTTCATTCTTGCATTTTTGTGTTGAGCACAGACTCATTTAAAAAGAAAAGTCCTCCCCTTCCCCCCACCCCCGCCTGTTGGGGTGGGAGCCGGTGAATCCCAACCACCGCAGCCTCCAAGCAGGCTGCAAAAATCTTTGGAAATTCCGGTTCTTCCCCCCCCCCCCGCCGCCCCCGCCCCAGTCCCTCAAGTCCACTGATGTCGACGCTGTGTCCCGCGGGCTTGGGGGGGGGGGCGGTTGCTGGAGCAAAGAACAATTTCAAATGGCTGAGTCGTGGCTGGGCTGGGGGAGGGAAGATGCTTGTGGAGGTGGATCGCGGTTTAAAGGAAACGTTTGTGTGGCTCTAAGGTTTCAGTTTATTAGCCTGAGCAAGGTGTTAATTTTTCTCTTGTACGAAAAGCGAAATTCCCAGTAGCAGCCTCGGAAATCAATCGATTCTGCCCCCCCTTCACCCCCCAACCCGGAGCAAAGCGGCTCCCTCTGCGTCCCGCACCGACCCGCGGGGGTTATTCTGAACTTTACGAATTCACTCTCGAAATTGCAAGAATAAAAATAGGCAGGAAACTTCAGAGCAGCAGCCGCAGACGCCAGCTCCTTGCGCCCCCCGCTGAAACCCGCCCACTGTCCAGCACCCCCAGCCTCTCCCCGCCCGGGGGAAGGAGCCCGGCCGGGGGGCGCCGGTCGCGAACAAATCCCTGGTATTCTTTAGACAACAATCTCCAGGCTCATAGATACATGGTTGTGTGTAAACCCCCCAGCCTCTCTGGATCCCGATCGTCCGGATGGGCCAGCGGGCGGGGCGGGCCGGGCCCAGGCAGGGGGGAGCCTGCCCGGGGCAGGTTTCACCAGGTGAGCGGGGTCTCTGCCCAGGGCTCCGGGCGAGGGTGGAGGCCGGCCCGCTGCCGCCTGCCCTCAGCCCGCTCCGCAGGTGTTTTGTGGTTCAGAGCCCGTATTTTTGCAGCCCCGGCCACAGCGAGGACTGGGGGGAGGGGGAGGTGGGGGTGGGGATGGGGCGGGGGTGAGCGTCTGTGTGAATTAAAAACAACGAAATAACTGTGTGACCCCCCCCATGCAAAAAGAACAGGAGGCCTTGTGGCACCTCAGAGACTAACACATTTATTTGAGCAGAAGCTTTCCTGAGCTACAGCCCACTTCATCAGATGCATCTGTAACGCTAAGATGTGATCCCCCCCCCCACCCCGAGCTGGCGGCCCCTGCGCTGGAAAGTCCGTCAGCAAACGCTGAGTGCTGAAGTCTGGAGACTTGGAGTTTGAATCTCGGGTTGGCACCAGTTTAGCGCAGGCACCCACAAGCGCATCTGGACAAAAACCACAGCAACGGGCGTGCACACACACGTATCAACGCGCGCGCATCTGTGCAAAAACACACCAACGGATCTGCACACACACACACACGGATCTACACACACACACACGTATCTGTACAAAACCACATAAACGGATCTGCACACAAACACCCCAACGGATCTGCACACACACGCAAAAGTATCTGTACAAAACACACAAAAGTATTTGCACACACGCACGCACACGGATCTACACACACACGTGTATCTGTACACAACCATATAAACGGATCTGCACACAAACCTATCTGTGCAAAAAACACACCAACGGATCTGCACACACGCACGAGCAAATAGATCTCCATAGCTCCCCACAGACTTTTACAACTACTCAGAAGTCTGCATAGCGACACACCCCAAGATCTCGTTAAGTGTCCATAGACACACACACCTCTCTCTGGAGCCGGCCACACAAGTACGCTTCTGTCTCTAGAATTATCCACCCACCGAGAGACAATTACACCCCCCCCGTAGCAATGCACAGACGCCTCTTAACACCGGCATCACACACAGACACAAATCTAGATCCACGTGCCATTATCCATGGCGGGCTGCACACACAGCGAGCCGTAAGCTGCCCTAAGCAAATATTGTCTGCATCACAGACGCGCTCAGCGCCACGCCTCGATCCCTACCTACAGACAGGCACAAACATCTCCCGGGAGTGCACAACCAAACACCGGGAAATGAACATCTGGGGGTCCACCCGGGCGTGCGCCCGCATCCCTCTGAAATAACACAACCCTGGGCACCGCGGAGATTGCTCCCAGTTTACTGTGTTTAGAGAAACCGGATCAACTTTGCTTAACCCCCTTGAGCCAGCCCCAGGCAGCCGGCCCCCTTCCCCTGTCACCCCGCTTCACGGGGCTCCCGTCGCAAACCCGACATGTGCAATTCTCCCACCTCCTGCGGGACCTCGCCGATGCAGGGACTTGGTCCGAGCAGGCGAGAGAACAACACACAGGAGACGTACAAACATTGTCCCTCAGGCACCGAGTCGGAAAGGGCCGAATTAAGCTGTTTATTTCGGAGTGGAAAATCATAATATTAAAGGAATCGACGTATTTCCCTGACAATAAAGATATTACGGATTTGTTTAAAAAAAAGAAAAGTGAAACACTGCAGGGGAAAATCAAGTTCCTTAGATTGCTGGTGAAATGAATTGATCATAGACACAGATGCGCCGGGTACTTCTCACCCTTCGCAGCCACGACGTGCAGGGAACTGACTGGCTGATCGCCCCTCTCCTGTGAGCGCTCCAGAGGCAGGCAGGGCCCCGCGCCCCACTCCACCACAGTGCGCCCCCAAGAGAGGGGCAGAGAGCCGGGGGGCAAAGTCGGATTTTAAACAAAGTTTGATCCATCACTTTCCTGTTTGCGCGTTAGCAAATGTCTCGCCCCAGTCGCTCCTGAAATGCTGAGATTCACACACACACACACACTATTCCCCCTTGGAGGAACAAGAATGAGGACTGTGTTGTGACACAAGAGACTTGAAGGGACATCCAGAAACCCAGACTATTTCGGGTTCTTTCTCCCTCCCTGCTGGGGCTAGTCCCACAATACAAAGCCTTATTCTACCGGTCCAAAAAATCATTTCTCAGCCTTAGGACAAAGCCATGTGGCATTTCCAAAGCAGGTTCCCTGTACCGGGGGCAAATCACACGTCCTTCTGGATAGGAAATAAAACGAGGAGAAAGGAGCGTCACCCCACCCTTTACAGCTGCGAGGATATCGCACAGAAAGGCTTGAACTCCAGAGCCTGGCCAGCCTGTAGCAAAGGGGATCCTGCTGCATTTTAAATCAGCTTAATACATCATCAAGCCCCAGCCCCGAGAATAATCATTCTAATCACCAGCATCCCCCCCCCCCCCGACCCAGCTCCTCACCTGCAGGTACAAATGTTCTTCTTTCACGTTCTCGGCTTTCCAATGCATTTTGGGGCAGAAGGGAACTAAAAGCGCCTTTGTAAAGAGATGGAACAAACAATCGAATCGGACGAGCCAAATTCTTCTCCGGCTCCCTCCCTTCTCCCGAGGCCGCCTTTCCTCTCCAGCCGGCTGGGCTCGCGTTCGGGGCCGCGGGATCCAAGCTCCAGGAACCGGCCAGCGAAGGGCAGGTTCCAAGAAACCCGCCGCCCCTCGGAGGAGCCCGTGACCCCTGGCCCGGCGCACGTTTAATTTCCAGCCCTAACCCAATTCTGGGGCAGGCGCAGTGGGGTGGATTTGAATATTGCGCTGCAGGGCGCGCTGCTCCGCATTAGAATAATTGAATCCGGAATCCCGAGTTCATTTGAAACTTTCCAGAGACGCGCCCGGGCTGAGCCCCCGGAGGGAGCGGGAGCAGCCGTGTCAGGAACCGAGCTAAAGGCGAATACCCCCCTCTCGGGTTTCTTGCTGGCTCGAATCATGTGTCAGGTAGATCCGCGCTCCGCGGAGGCAGGGGACCCTCCCGCCTGGGATGGGCCGGTGCCTTCGGGCAGCGGGAATCGACCGCGTCTGGACCCAGGCGAGGGCAGAATTAGTTTGACAAAACTTTCATTCCATTCTTTGGGGGGAGGGGGCGTGAGGGTGTGTTGGGGTATGTCGGGGGGGGGGGTGTAAGGGGAGAACTCAATTCTAAGATGCTACCGGCGCATCATGTAAACCAACCCAGTCCCTAGAAAGAGGTGTGAGGTCCTTCCCGTGTGGACATGCCTGCAGCAGGGTGGATGGGGCGCAGCCAGCCGCTTTTTTGACCAAATCCTTCCCCTTCTCCTGCTGTCTTCTATTTGTTCGCTTGTTAGCACCGTCTTCACTTTCCCTTCTGCCTTACAGAGCGCAGCCTGCGCCGGAGAGGAGGAGGATGAGGCAGAGGAAGGCTTTAGTGGCAGACAGTTGGAGGTACAGGGCTCTCCCTCCTCCAGCTCGGTGTCAACCTTCCCCCCTGCTCTGCTGAATGGTTTGGGAGCTGAGCAACCTCTTCCCCACACCCCACACTAAAGATTCTTTTTATTTCCCTTCCCTCCAAGC